GATGAGGAAACTGAGGCAGAGAGTTCCTTGCCAAAGGTCCCGGGATAAGTAAGAAGAGAAACCAAGGACTCAAAACCAAACATTCTGCTCAGAATCAGTGCTTTTAACCTTCATGCTAACCTGAGCATTTAGACAGTAGTGAGAAAGTCTATAATTCAATCATATGACAATCATAAAGCTTGCCAGCCAGAGGAATTTTAAAGTACGAATTCCTCTACCAATCTACTTGGGGCTGAGGGTGATATTAATTAAATACACTTCTAAGCTTTTTAAAAACAATTTAATCTAATTTTTCATTCGATTTAAAACAAACAAAACCTCTTTCTGTCAAGAGCTAAATCTTTACCAAAATACAGTGATATTTTCTAAATTTCATACCCTCTCATCACAATATTAAAATACTCAAAAGAACACAAGGGAAAATGTAATCATATTTCAGTTTCAGTCTTTAACATTAGCCCTAAGTCTATTATTAGATAATTCTCTCTAATGATGCAGAAGACTTCTTGAGAAACAAAGAAAGATTCTAGAATATAAAGATTCTAAAATAGTTTAAAAGCAGGAAAAAGAAAGTAATTTAAAGGAACTAAAATGTCAGGAGCCAAGAGAGTGATGTGCATAGCATATTGAAATCAAAGGAAATGAAGACAAAGGAGAAAAAACAGCAACACGGCGACCCAGATAAAGACGCCAGGACTACATTGCGTGCTAACCAGCAGCTACCTACCTATATGTATAAAAGTAATTCTACCTAGGCAATAAAATGTCGGTTCTGATGATATATTAACTTGTTCTTCTGGGAAGTACAAAATGTAAAAAAAAAAAAAAAAGAAAAGAAAAAATGAATATGTCATACTTTAAAAATAGAAAAAATTATTTAAAAATTAGCTTTCCAACTTTGTTAAGACTTGATATTAACAGTTTTTCCTGGAGCAAGTTACTACTAATAATTAAACAATAAAAATCTATAACTTCAAGGATAAATCTATTATTTGAAAGTCTTCTAAAATATTAACTTTTTTTTTTTTACTTCAAGAGTAGAAATAACATCATAAGTTCACTATGTACACAATTTTAAAATTGTTTAAGAGGCTATTCAAAATAATCTTCATTCACTATCTGGGAAAATATAAAATTCAATTAGGAATAGTTAATCATGTATCTTACTAATCTCTTAATATTATGAATATATTTCAAAAGTGAGAATGGAAATGAGCTTAACAAATACAACACAGCAGTCGTGGAAGAAACATTCTCCTCTGTGCAGTCCCCATACACAGTTTTTAACATGAAGAATGTGTATATTAATACACGTTGCCAGAGTTTCCAAGCTAGAGATACAACTAGGGCAATATTCTGGACTAAAGATACTGTCTATAATGTTATTCTGAAGTTCTCAAGGTCTCATTTGAAGTCAGACAAGAGTTTAAGAATTCAGAAAATCAGGCTTAAAAAAAAAAAACCTGTAGGATATAGAGAGCTACATGTCCATAAACATACAAACACCCCAGAACACACTCTGCAGAGGAAAAAAAAAAAGGGATGTTATCAGCCAATAATCTCCAATCCTTTCACTACATATTAATATATTTAACTCCAAAACCTAGGTGAGAACCTTAGAAAGCACTTAATGTAAATGTAATGGTCCCTAATTACAAAACCACCTGACCTGGTTTGTAATTACAGCCACAGGCCAACCCCACAAGGTGGAACTCAAGGTTTCAAGAATCCACCAGTAAGACAGAGAGTAAAATAACTGATAGATGCTAAAATTTGGAAAGTGTGTGGCTTCAGACAGGTTTCCTCTAAAGCTGTGACAGTATCTTAAAAGGAAATCTAGGGTTCTATGTTCCAAAGGACCATACTGTTTCACCAGAGTCCAAACAAATAAATGAAATACTTGTAACCTTTGCAGTTTTGTCAAAAATATGAATTCATTAAGCATCATTAAAAGTAACATAATGTATCCTCTTAAGAAGGAGATTTTACAAAACAACTTGACTCTTTCAGTTATATCACAGGAAAACTAAACCTATCTTCCTAATGACAAACTTTTGCATCACCAGAATCCATATGCCACAGTGGTGACTATACCAGTGTCCTACGTTCTACACGCTGAAAATAACTCACTTAAATATGAAGTCCTGTCAGCTTCTGAAATGTTTCTTTTACAATACACAGTTGGTAGATAGGACTAATGCTGTCAGCTCAGGGGCCTGAACTGAAATGTCACCTGGTGTCATACTATTTCCTTTCCAATCTCCTCCACCAGATCAAAAGTTCCTCAAGGGAAGGAAAGATGAATCTTTTTCCTTTTGACAGTGTCTAGCACTTTCCTGGCACATAGCAAGCACTCAATACATAAGTACTGACTCAATGAACATATTCAATATGTATTGGACAGTTCTGCTCCCAAAGTTTTATTTACTTTAAAGCTCTCAATTTTTGCCTATATTGAATGGTTAAAAATATCCCCTTTATTTATTCTGAGTAGATCTGTCATGATTAACCAATTTTTGTTTACAATAAGGAAATGAAAAAACAAGATGTTGATGCTGCTCCACTCTAAATAGTTTTATTTGGACCAATATCAAGTGCAAATCAAACATAAACCTATTTTTATTGCTTGCTTTAACATAACCTAACAAATACAGATTTGTTTTTAAAATATGCTTTAGAATAATGCCTGCTGTGTAAATGAAGTGACTTAGAATCTTCCTTTATTTAATCTTATTATGATAATAGGCATTCGACATTCAGGGATTAGCAAGAATCACAAACCTAAGTGTAAAGGAAACTTTATTGGCTGGGAATAATTTTAATTAAAAAGATCATGTAATCAATAGTGATAATTAAGGTCAACATCACGAGTTTAATACACACATGCTTTACAACATGGACCGCACCCTAACCTGAGTTACCTGACATATCTGAGGTTAAACATAAGAAAATAAGCCCTGGTTGGTTTGGCTTAGCAGTTAAAGTGTCAGCCTGCGGACCAGAGAGGCCAGGGTTCAGTTCCTGCTAGGAGCACGTACCTTGGTGGCAGTTTGTCCCTGGCCCTGGTTGGGGTCGTGTGGGTGGCAACCAGTTGATGTGTCTCTCTCATGTCAATGTTTCTCTCTTTCTTCCTCCCTCTCTCCCTCCTGCTCTTTCTGAAGATAAATGCAAAAATGTCCTCCGGTGAAAATAAAAAAAAAAAAAAAGAAAGAAAGAAAATAAGAGAGCCCTGGCCAGTTTGGCTCAGCGGTTAGAGCGTCGGCCTGCGGTCCGGAGAGACCTGGGTTTGGTTCCCGCTAAGGGCACGTACTTCGGTTGCTGTTTGTCCCTGGCCCTGGTTGGTTGTGCGGGTGGCAGCCACTCGATGTGTCCCTTCACGTCGATGTTTCTCTCTCTCTCTCTCCCTTCCTCTCTCTCCCTCCCACTCGATCTGTACAAAAAATGGAAAAATATCCTCGGGCGAGGATAAAAAAGAAAAAAGAAAAAGAAAATAAGAGAGACTAGGGATAAACATAAATCCACCACCTCCACTAAGTTTACTCAAGTGGCATACACATCTAACATCTAGCCGTAAACATGATGACAGTTTATTATTAATTTCAGAAAAAGTTCACAGGCCACTCAAAAATTATTTCAGGTTCAAGATTTCTTTCCACATTCAGGCATAGCTCAGAGTTATTGCAGGTGTGGTTCCAGACCACTGCAATGAAGCGAATATCAAAATAAAGACACATGAATTTTCTAGTTTCTCAGTGCATATAAAAGTTACTTTTACACTATATTGTAATCTAATAAGTGTGTAATAGCAGTATGTCTAAAAACATACGTACATACCTTAATTGAAAATATGTTATTGCTAAAAAATGCTAACCATCATCTGAGCCTTTGGAAAATGAAGCTGACAGACTTGTTCAAACACAGAGTTGCCACAGGCCTTCAATTTGTAAAAAACACAGTATCTGCGAAATGCAATAAAACAAGGTATGCCTATATCTGATTATATTCCTATTTATTACCCCAACAAGGTCCAAATATCAATACTAAATACGGGTACATATTAGCATTCTAAAGTGCAAAAGTATTGGTTATATTAAGAGTCTCTATGTAACTAGTATTAATGAACTCATGGTTAAGCAATTTAAGGTCAAATCACAGGACGAGAGCTACATCTCCATCACTGATTTTCAAGTGGCAGTGGGCAAACTATACAGCCCTTAGGTCTCTCTTCCTGAGGGAATTTTGAGAGAATGCGTGTTTTTTTTTAATGTAGGATACAGCTAAATAATAAGATTGCCTTTGAGCCCTGGCCGGTTTTGCTCAGCAGTTAGAGTTTTCGCCTTCGGTCTGGAGAGACCCGGGTTCGGTTCCCGCTAAGGGTATGTACCTAGGTTGCAGTTTGTCCCCGGCCCTGGTTGGGTCGTGTGGGAGGCAGCCACTCGATGTGTCTCTTTCACATTGATGTTTCTCTTTCTGTCTCTTCCTCTCCCTCCCTCCCACTCTATCTGAACAAAAAACGAAAAAATGTCCTCAGGTGAGGATAAAAAAAAAAAAAAAAAGATTGCCTTTGAGACTGTCCTTAATTAAAAATCAGACAATACACATCCCTCACTGCTGTGCTCTCAAACGCTTGTTGGAAGTATAGAAGCCGAGGCCCACTTTCTGAGATACCAATTTTGCAAGTTGGACGCAGGGTCCAAAGAACTATATGATGGAAGCAGCACACTTTTAGTGATGTGTATAAAATTCTGGCTCAGCTCTGAAGCTTTACCACAAGCCCAAGACCTTAGCCTGGAGAAGTTTAAGTTCTGTGACTGCCACGCATAATCCAATCGGCCTGCCTTCCTGACAGATAGACAAGACATATTTGAAGATACATAAGCTGTGTATTGTTCTAAAATCTCCTGCATATTCTTTGTTTCTGAAAAGATGCATTAAAAATAAAATCAGCATTAGTAGCATAAGAAATATCCGTTAAATAGGTCCAGCTGAAGAAAAGATACCTAATGCAACTGGGTCTGGGTTGACGGGACTCTGCTGCCTGGAGTGGCTGCTGCTACTGCTGCTGCCCTTTTTTAAGTCCTCGGCATCACTATACCGTCGAATCCAGTAATTCAATTCCTCTCGGTCCGCTTCCTGACATCGCCTTAGTACAGTGAGAGATCGCCTTGTTTTCTCTACCATGTCCATGATGCAATTTAACAGCTATGTGAAAGACAGAAGAAAAGGGAAAAACACATCAATCACTACAACTTAAGGACTTTGGTGGGTAGTGAAACAAACTACTGTAGGACAATGACGGATGCTGCTGTAATTCCTGAAGGCTTCGGTCTAATATTTTCAAAGGTTAGATTTGAAGTCAAGGCCCAACAGATGAGTCAACTCAATGGGAATGAGAACACAAGAACATGAGTCAGGACAAAGAGCATAATCAGGAAGGCATACAGCCACCTTTCCAAATACTAATCCCAATACTGCAGAAACTAAGTGAACTTTTCACAATAAAACCATTAGTCTGGTTTTAAGAACTCCCTTCCATGAGCTAAACACATCTCTTACATAAGTGGCTTTGGTATCAATTTAGAAATCAAATCTTATATTCTACTTTTAACATTCTCATTCTTTTTTTTTTTTTAAGGTTAGCAGAAAACATAATACCTGAAAAGTATCCCCACACTTTTATTTCACCAGGTAACTGCACTCCAGTTGTTTTCAAAACTTTAACCTAAAGAATTACCGACATCTTACATGGTCAAGATGTTTCCATTCCTCTGCCCATTCTCTGTCAGTTAGTCTGTGGTCAATCATTTCTTCTTGACGTGTGCCATGCAACCCTACAAAAATAGAGAAGAAGGCTGAATTGTCCTCAAGCATCAGGACATAACTCTTACACACAGATACTTAGCCAAGACTAAGTGGGCAAACTAAACAATATGAAACAATATCCAGTCTTTAGATGGAGACACTCAGATTCAGAATTACCTAACAGGCAAGCTCCTCACAGAATGATAAAGTGTTAGAACCAGAAGGGATCTTAGAGAGGCCACCTGGCCAGAACCCTTTCTTCTCCACATGGGGAAAGAGGGAGTACAGTGACACCAACCTCTAGTTTGCCATGTGACATTCCCTAAGTGAAAATAAAGACGGCTAAAATCATTCTGCATGGGCAGGAATATGGTTTTCTAAAATAAGCACAATGAGATTTGTCCACGTTTCAGCACACTGTGAATGAACACAATCTTATTACATATACCATACCTCCATGATAAAGCCAAGTAATGAAGAGAGGGGCTTACATAATATGAAAGCTGCACATACCCATTCAATTAACCAAAATATAAAAAACAGAAATAAATCAAACATCCTCTATGAAAACAATCACTATATTAGATATAATTTTGGACAAATATAAGTCCAAATGAAGAAACCAAAAAAACTAATTTGTAGTCCATAGCATAAGTATATTAGCTCTTTAGCATCACAGTGAAGATGCCACCATAAAAAAAAAGTAACATATAAATGCTTACCAAGTGAGTAAGAATAGTAATAAACATGAGTAGTTATTGAGGATGCTCATCAGAATAAAAAATAAATGTATTTCAAATATAGTCAAGATATAAAGCAACCTAGGTGTCCATCTTCAGATAAAGGAATAAAGATGTCACACACACACACACACACACACACACACTAGAATATTATGCAGCAATGAAAAAGAATGAAATCTTGCCATTTGTGACAACATGGATGGATCTAGAGGATATTATGCTAAGTAAAATAAGTCATACAGAGAAAGACAAATACCATAATGTTTCACTTATATGTGGAATCTAAAACAAAACCAAAACAGACTCACAGAAATAAAGACCACAGGGATGGTTACCACAGGAGAGAGGGGAATAGTTGAAGGGGAATATAGTCAATATTACTGCGAACAGTTTGTATAGTGACAGATGATTACTAAAATTAGTGGGGTGATCACCTTGTAAGATATAAAAAATGCCAAGTCCCTATATCGTGCACCTGAAACTAATATAACCAATATAAGATTGTATACCAACTACAGTTAAATAAAAAATAATAATCATAATAAATAAATAAATGCCAAAACACTTGTTAAAACATGAAGAACTTGACACAGTTAAACTGGATTATACAATAAAACCTTTTATATGCATTACATAACAAAAATTCAGTAAACTATATAAAAGATCGAATGGAAGGCTCTGAGATACCTGGAAATGGCTTGCTCTTCTTACAAAGTCATTATGCATAAAACACCTTAGGTTCCACTGTAAAGGAAAGGCACTGGGCAATGGCAATTTCCACTTTAAACAATGAAAACTACTCTTTTTGGTTTAGATACTCTGAATAGCAAATTAAGACTGGCATGTTTTGGGTTCTTGACATGGAGGGTCTTCTCAGAGGGTATTTTGTAAGAGTTAAATGACAACAGAGTTCTAAAACACTGCATCTCTCACTGCTCTACACGTCTGTGAAATCTGAGTATTTGAAATCCCTTCTTTTAGCTGATTTGGAAAAATAAAGATGATGAGTCACAGGCCTGTTTTCAGCCAACTATAAAATATGAACAAATATCAACCATGAAAAATGAACAAATATATGGCAACGTTTTCAGACCAGCTAAAAAGTTAAATATAAAACACTTTGCATCATTCTTGTCCAAGTTAAAATTTACAAGTTAAAATTGTCCACGCCACCTATTGGTAAAAATGTAGAATTGCAAATATGTTTTAATAGTTTGCATAATAGGAAAAACAGTGGGCAAAAGTGGTATTTAGTTATGGCTGTTTGTTGTGACTATTTCAAGTTGAAATGTTTGCAAATGTATAATTTTTGCTGATGATCTGTTGCCTGTGTTTTTAAAAAAAAAGCACTATTATTGAAATGAGTCATCACAGAAAACAACCAGTGATGAAGGCATGACTGTAACACTGACTGTCACGATGGAAACCTTTAAGGATCAAGAACTACAGAGATTTCAAAAGTTTCCCAATTCAGCTGACTAAATCAATAACGGTACAAGCACTAACACATGGAATAATGTTAATGTGAAACAGGATGTCTGTGGCTAATAGGATTCCAACATTTGTGGAACAGTATTAAGCTTCATTTCATTTTTTTTTTAAATGCAAGTACATTAGAAACATGTTTGAGCCCAAGTACTTGGTGAAAAATATAGGACTCATTTGCTGCTTTTGCAACTCTGAAGGGCATTTGTTAGACTCAAATCTTTAAAAAGAAAACATAAAATAACTCAAATCTTTACTTTTGTTAATTTCTCTATTTCAGATACTTAAACATTCATGAGCACAAAATTTTTATTTCTATTCACAATACCAGGACGATGTACTAGGAGAGTATAGCTCGTAAGCACTAAAGAGCACATTTTCATTTGTGGGAAGTTTGACACTAATGTTGAGTCTTAACTGGTTCTTATGCTTTAGAATATTTCAACTAACTAGGCTAAAACTCTAAATTAATTAATTAATAAACTAATGCTGCTTGTAAAGTTATTTTATTAAAGGATTCTAGTGAGTACATGTCTCTACCTACAATAGGCACACCAGACTAAGTATATCTTTATGACAATTTATTTTCATCTTTACCTGAGGATATGTTTATTGATTTGAGAGAGAGAGGAAAAGAGAGAGGAAGAGAGCCTGGCTGGTGTGGCTCACTGGTTGAGCGTCAACCCATGCACCAAGAGGTTGCCAGTCTGATTCCCGGGCAGGGCACATGCCCAAGTTGTGGGCCCAATCCCCAGTGGGGGACATGCAGGAGGCGGTCAATCGATGTTCTCTATCATCGATGTTTCTCTCTGTCTCTCCCTCTCTCTCTAAAATCAATAAAGAAAAAATATTTTTAAAAAAAGAGGAAGAGAGAGAGAAACATATTAATTGATTGCTTCTGAATGCACCCTGACTGGGGATCAAACCCACAACCTAGGGACGTGCCCTGACTGGGAATCGAACCCACAACCCTCTGGTGTATGGGACAGTGCTCCAACCAACTGGGCCACCCGGCCAGAGCTATAACAATTTTTATATTTTCAAAATGACAGCCTGGTGTAACACAGTAATCTGTTACTCATCATCAAGATTTTATTTTAATACGTACTAAACTCTGCCAGACTTTAAGGATGATTAAATAGTTGCACATTATTTATAGAAATTAGTACTATTAGTCTTATAAACTAATATAATTTAAAAATAAGAAACATGGTCTGAGGGAAAAAAATTACATAAAACCAACAGTATAATTTATAAAGGGATTTTTTACATTACTAGATAAAAACATAATCATTGCACAGAAGCGTCATTACTTACTTGATTGTTATTTTATAGTGCACCAGACTAATATTTCATAAAACAACATCTGCTACCTAAAAAGTAGGCCATTTCCTAGCATCTACAAAGCAGGATATCTTGAATTGGTCTTACAATGACCTGGTGACTCCACTTCTACTTGAAAATAAGCAATCATATTTAGGGCATTAAGTTGTAAACAAATGGCAACACTTTTGCTTGGAAAGGGGCTGTTATCACGTTTGATTTGGGGGTCAAAATATCAACCCAGCCTGAAAAATAACGTGATCACTTTTGAGAGTTCTTCAGTAATGGTGGCTGAAAGAACATTAAACAGACTGGCTATTAAGAAAGCACGAATTACATGCTTAGCCATTTCTCTGACACACTATATGAATGCAGAAATGACCACTGTTAGGAAGCAGAACTACTATTTATTTTGCTATCTCACAACCTGGGCCTTAACTGCCCCTCACCCTACCCTGTCTCTCTCTCTCTCACTCTGCTTTCTGAATATTTAGAGGATTATATGCAGAAAGGCAAAAAGACCTTAGATGAGGCAGTCCCTATTTGCTAGTAACCTCATTAAATCACTGTACACTGCTGTTCACTGTGCTACCTCTGCCTGTGGCTAAAAAACAATGTCTCTACACTTCAGGAACTAAGTAACTGGCTGGCTACACTTCCCTGAGTTCTGCATCCTCAAGTCCATGTTCTGGTTTTCCAGATGTACGTTATCCCTTACTGCGTCCAGCGCCCTGCCCAACAAATCACGCATGTCAGGAAAATGTGTCAGCAACTAGCTACAAGGTAAAGGCAAGTCCTGTTGGCGGGTGGCATGGACACAGAAGATGGAAAAAGAGAGGACTACTGCTCTCAGTCAGTTTATAAATAGTTTGACTCACCAAAAATTAAGAACTGAAGGAGCTCTAGCAACAGTGCTTTGACACGTTCACCCCGACCACTGATCATGCATCAACACCTTCTGGTTCATCCTGCCTCCCATTTTGCATGGTGCTCACCTGTTCTCTAGAAGGCCATGTGTCCTGCCTGCTTCATTTCCAACCGTTTTATTCAAAGAATGAATGAAAACGGGCAAATGGAACACACATTTACCCAAACTCATTCCTTCTCTGGAATTACAATCTTTGACACAAAACTTCAATATTAAATTTAACCACTGGCAGTTTCAAGTCAAAAAAGAAAGCACCAAATCATTCCTCAAGGAATATCTGTTAAGTCACAGGCATGCGATATCATATTTTTCAAATATGATGTTTCATGGAGACTAGAAAAATAAAAATGAATTTTAAGTCCATCTGAAATGAAGATACAGTAAAATATAAGAAACTGATTTTAACAATATTTGTGGCAGGTGGATTTCAATTGAAATTTCTTATATTAAAAAAATTAAACAGCCCTGGCAGGTGTGGCTCAGTTGGTTGAGTATCATCCCATGTACCCCGCAGATCACGGGTTCCATTCCCAGTAAGGGCACATGCCCAGGTTGTGGGCTTGGTCTCCATTGTGGGGCATGCAGAAGGCAGTCAATGGATGTTTCTCCCTCATTGATGTTTCTCTGTCTCCCTCTCCCTTCTTCATTCTCTAAAAAATCAATCAAAACATATTTTAAAAAAATTAAACTAAAAATTCACTTCACATTTAATTGAAGGTTTATATTAATTTAGATGTTAACTGGCTGTTATAAGAATATAATTAACGAGAAAGAAAGCACAGTTGCCAAATAACATATTAATATTAACCAAGTTTTCTCATAAAGGAGACAATATAAACAAAGAAAAAGAGACTGTTAACCCTTATTACAAATTTTAAGCCTCAAGTTCAGTGGAGAGGTAATGATTCAAGTCTTTATGCATCCAATCCCACAGGAAGTGAACAAACCCTTCAGTCTTACCCATAGGTCTGTTTCTGTCCCTGAGGTCCCTGTGGCTGGGGTGTCGATAGGAGTCCCTGTAGTGGTGGGCAATGGCCATATCATCCAAACGGTAATGCTGAGGTGGAGGTGGGGTGGGGTGAGGCAGGCCATTGGGCTGGTAGGATAAGCCATTATTTGGACTGTACCGCTGGCCTGGGCTAATAGTGCATGGTCGCTTGCTTGGATGTTCTGAGTGCAAAGGCTCTCTGTCAAAGCCATTTTCTTTGGTTCTGGGGGAGGGGAGAGAAAAAGAGTTTGTTTCATAATGTACTCAGAAACCAACATAATTCAGACACTCACATTTGAATTGTAATATAAACAGAACTTGTAATATAAACAGAATATTCCTTTATTGGCCAGAAACTGTAAACTCAGAAGACCTATGGTAGGTAATTCATTGAAACCCATGCTGAGGTCTAAATGATCACAGAACTGCACACAGGAGAAAATGGTTCAATTATCAAACATCTTTTAGCAAATATATTTTCAATTGAAACTCATGTGTTTAGGTCATGAATATAAGAAAATCCAATCTCACTCTGTAGATTGCATTTCCATTCAAAGGAGAGTACTTGATTTCTAACAAATTACCCTAAGACACTGTATTTGGTGAAGATTCAAGTTAGAACATCCTTCTCCTGATGAATTCTTAACATACACCTATTCCATTCATCTAGTCTGACATTTAACTTTCATGTCAGAGAACTTCTAAGAGCTGTATTGTCCAATACAATAGCCACATGTGTGTATTTAAATTTAAATATAAGTTAATTAAAATTAAAGTTTATGCCCAGCTGATGTGGCTCAATGGACCGTCATCCCATGGACTGAGAGGTCCTGGTTTGAGTTCTAGTCTGGACACACACCTGGATTGCAGACTCGATCCCCAGTAGGGGGCGTGTGGGAGGCAGCCGATCAATGTTTCTCTCTCACATCAATGTTTCTCTCTCCCTTCCTCTCTCTCTAAGAAATCAATTTTTTTAAAAAGCCTTTTAAACAATTGAGTAAAGTTTAAAATTCAGTTCTTCAATAGCAGTAACCACATTCCAAGTGCTCAATTGCCACCCGGGGCTAGTGGCTACAGTAGTGGACTGTGTGGACACAGAACGTCTCCACCATCACAGAAAGTGCTACTGGAAAGCGCTGATCAAATGAGCTAATACAATAAAGCAATACAGTGTCTGGGATTCTGACATTGCCTTGGGTAACCAAGATATCAATCAGCAGTCAGAGCTAGCTGTGACGAAAAGAGAATTTAGGTGAATCCCTTCATTTTAAAGTTGACAAAACACATGCCCACAGAGCATATGTTACCTCTCTGGGGTCATTAAGTCTCAGGGCAAGATGGCACACCCTGACTGCACTTGATTATGTGACGCACAAAACCTTGAACTTGTCTTTCAGAAGTAATACGTTATATAAATGAGACCTGATAACTAATCATTGCTCCTATATTTTCAAAAAGAGGTGGGGCTGAAGAAATATTTCCTGGCTGAATAGATCTCTATTTTTAAGGACAAACTCAATATACTCAGTAAGATAGGAACAAACCACATCAAACTGCAGCTGGACTCACAGTTCCCAAACTAATTTTTTATGTAGTAGCTGGCTCTCACCACAAAACCAGCATTCTATCATTAGACCCACAGTAACATCTATTTTCCCTGCAAAGTTCGCCCATAAGTACTCTATCAAGTCAAAGCAGCTACAGATTTCTGCGTGCCTTTTATATTTTAGGTTGGTAACAACAGCACAGAGGACTACAGACATTTTTCCTACTTTCCTGGCTTCCAGAATAGTCTTTGTCTGGTAATACTAGAGAAACCAGATAGCAATTGACTCAAAAAGGGAGATCACGAGGTCCACAGAATTCTACCATGAGCCATCCTTTGTATCCAATAAGGTAGATTCCCTGTGACATTTTCACACACCAGATTGAGAAGAATAAAGGAGTTGGAGACCGAAGGTAGAGCACACAAAACTGAGGCAAACTGCAGAGTGGGCAAGCAATGAATGCATGCCCACTACATCCTGAAGAAAGATGCCCTGTTCTGGAGAAAGCAGACTGGTTGACATAGGAAATGACAGCAGGGCATGGGCCCTGAGGAAGTGGTGGCCAGAGTCTCAATGCTGCTCCCATCAAAGTATTTGTCTGTACTAAAATGTCATTAATATCAGGCAAAAATGTCCACTGCAGTTCAGCCATTACCTAAATACACTGCTTTCAAATAATTTTTAAAAGTGAAAGGAAACATTTTATTATATTGATTTATCTTCTAAGGGTATATCTATGCGATTCTAATTGGTATTTCCACATCCTACACATTTCTGAATAATAATACACTTCAACATTTAATGCATGTTAACAGCATAAATCAGCTGGAAACTACTTAAGACTATTATTAGTAGCTATGAACATAATGCTAACACGGCACCTACCTTACTGGCAGTGTGGTGTAGTGGAAAGAGCTCTGGACTGGGGATCGTGAGATATGAGATCTAGTCCTGGCTCTTCCACGACTAGCAAGCCACTTAACCTCTCTGGACATTAGTTTGCTCATCTGTAAAACGAAAAGGTTGGACTAGGTCAGTGGTTTTCAAACCGTGCCACCTGAGGCACTTAAGGGATTCTGCAGGCAATGAAGGACTTCTCCAAACAATCAAGATTTAAAGGGCCAGATGAATCCACTTATTATTATCTGCTTTTATAAATGTGGGTTCCATCTAAGGTTTCACTTTAAAGGAAAAAGTCTGCGGCTAAAATCAGGTTTGAAAACCACTGGACTAGATGATTTCTGAGGTCCCTCCTAGCTTGAAAACTCTGTAATTCAATTTTCCTATATTTACATCTGAATGTCATGGTTACCCAGATCCCAACACACAGGGCTGATGGTCCTCTGGCCAAACTGTGTCTATGGCAACCACCTGAGACAACAGAGAAGTTCTCTGTTCTTCGCTTTGAACAATTTATTATTTATAGCTAATTCTTTATACAAAAATAGAAAAATATCCTCTGAATACCTCATAGCAGCCAATGTTGCATTTCTAAATATAGAAACACTTTGGGCCCAGTTGTGTCAAACCACCTCAACTTACTGGTGTTTGTCTACCCTTGTTCAAATATAAAAACATACAGTACTGAAAGAATTCTGACAATTTTCAAAATGTTATTTATCTTTATCCCCAGATCAGCCATCTGGTCAGTGCTATTACTTCAATGACCCATTACTGTTAAAAATATTTTCCCCCTAAAACAAGGACAGTGGTATCCTAAGCAGGTTAGGTGCTGAGCCTGTCCTATCATTTCTATCAGGACCCTGCTGTCCTACCCTGGGTCCCGTTACTCAGCTAACTAGGAAAACAAACAACAAACAACAAACTCATCATCTCATAGAGATAGCTATATCTTACTAGCAAAACATTAAAACATTCATGACCCACAAAAACAAGGCTATGAAAACTCTCACCAGTGCTTCCTTGAATCACTCATGCCTATTATAATGTCAATCCTATTGTCCAGAAAGGTAACTAAAACAACTTAATTGCTATTTGTCTGCTTCCTAGAGAAGCCTACAGTTATCTACACCTCATTTGCCTAGGCAAATTCTAAATTTGCATGCTTATTTGTTGCCCTTTCAAAGTGTATCAGGTAAAACTAACAAATGCTAGTAATTGTCCCATACCAGCATACTCTTGAAATAACTCACATCCTAGTGGGAAGTCTGTTATGTCTCATGTATTTCTAGAAGGCATTGTCTGTTTCTAAAAGCAACCTGAGGATGTTCTGTCTCCCTACCAGGAGAAATTTTCCTGAACATAATCTAACCACATCAACTTTTAGACCCCAATCACTTCTCTCTCAGGATCTGACGGTCCTAAAAATAGAGGACCATGGAGGACTCGTCAACTGTGTGACCTTGAGCTAACTTGGGAAAGTTAACATTTGGGATTCAGTTTCCTGCCCAGTGAAGTGGGACTAATAGAAAACAAATGTTAAAACAAAACAACAACAACAACAAAAACACTTGAGACGACCTAATTTACACTTTAACGTATCTCATGATATTTTCCCCTAGCTCCTCAAAAACAGAGGCTAGAAACTGACTGCTTATGAAAGAAAACATTTAAAAAAAAACTTGCCTCCATATAACGTATCTTAAATGTCATGATTGGCTACTGTGCACTGATAATATCTTAGTAACATTTACATAAAATAGTTTAACATTCAAAAATGAGAAAGAATGAAAACAATTATTATAAAATGATGACAATAAATAAAACCAGAAGCAATCAGTCTCCTATATGACAGGAGCAGGCATAAGTTCTTTTCCTAGATTAAAATGTAGTTTGTTTGTTTTTTAAGTGTGTATGAGGGGTAGATACCACTACAAAGATTGCTCTAGGGGAGGCAAACTGGTATAGCATAATAAATGTTAGAATGACATGGAAGAAACTTCTAAACTCTACTCTTAGTCCTGTTAGAAGTAAGTGCCTTAGATGCTCACTTCTCCAAGCTACATGAGTATTTTAAATAGAGTATGTCCAAACTCCCTCATCTTCCTCTGGTACTCCCTGTACCAGTCAGTTATGCCACCACCAACCCCGTCAACCCAAGTAGAAACCTGGAAGTCACTGTACAGCTTTCTTGTCCAAATGAAGTCCTGCTGCTGGTCTCTTTAGTATCTCTAGCATAGGCCCCTCTGCCCCACCCCAGGGTCTCTCTGTCTTGGCCTGATCACATCCCTGTCCTGTCTGCCAGTATCTCAGCCACAGCAATGACTGAGATGCTGGCAGGGTCTCATATATTTTTTTAAACATTTTTTTTTGTACTTTAGAAGTTATATATAAAAGATACATATCAGGAGGTAAAAGTTCTATTTTTCTTAAGCCCCAGAACATTAACAACTTAATAGTAAACACATCTTCCTTCCCTTTTCTTACACATGCAATTTGTTAAGATTTTCACAGAAAGAGCAGACATTGCATCAAAGGAGGGGTGACTCATTCTTGTCATAGTTTCGAAATAATTCAGTAAAAGTTCTATTCATGAACTGTTAAACACCATGCGAATTTAGTTATAACACCTTTCTATTGGTGCTCAAAATGTATATGAAACAAAATATATTACAAATTTCCCTGCCTCCTTAGAAATAAAATCAAACCTAATTCTTCTAACAACCCATGGTGGTTTCTGTTTTGCTATCAGCTTAGAGGGAGTGGGATATTTAGA